AACTACAAGGACTAACGAATAATACGTTAAGTATACTTCTACTATATTAAGAGTATATATATTATACTTAATTAGGAGTACAGCTCAAACATTATATCTCAATCAGATATAATATAACATCAGAATACTATAAGAACATATTCCCTATTTTCACTTGTCCCCTTGAGATTCTTAGATTCTATCAAAATATTAATTTTAAAGCTATTTAAAGATCTTAAGCTTTTTGAAAGAATAATCTATATACTAACTTAAATAGAGTAAATTTAATGTAAACTTTTAATAATAAATCTAATATTCTAATATTCTTCGCTTACCTCTCACTTCTAGCTCGGAAAGAGGCCTCGAAGGCGTCGTTTAGTATTGAGTAGACTTAATAGGGTGTATATACAAAGTATATAAATAAAAAGGTTGTAATTATTCTATCTAACGTAGTTTATCAGTGCGTGCATCATATCAGTGCGTGCACTACTTCAAAATTATACTAAAATCAAGGTTTTTTTTAATATTCATATTTTAATAATTAATCATTATTTTTAGAAGAGAACAAAATATTTGATAAAAATTATAATTTAAATATTCAAAAATTTAATTTTTATATAAATATTTCCATTATATTTTAAAAAAAGATTAAAATTGTTACGATTTTCGTTACAAAAAACTTTTTTTATAATAATTATTATATTAAATCAAATTTCTAATAATTGATTAGAAACTCTTATTATTTATATAAATAATTAACTATAATGTTTTTTAGAAAAAATTAAATTATATTAATAAATAAAGAAAGTGTACGGTTACATATAAACAAATTTTATATATAAAATGAATAGTATACATACTAATATAATATACGTACTAATAAACTATATTACTCTCTTCGTACGAAGAGGGAATTACTAAACCTACTTACGCACGGAGTATATAAGTGTAGTAAAGCGTGACATGTAATGTCACGCCCCTAGTCAAGTGTTCTAAATTTAGTCTGTAAATCTAATAAATCTAATAAATTTAACTCTCTTTTTAACTTTCTAATTCTCTTAATTCACTTTCTTTTACCTTTTGACGAACCTCTTTTTAATTCCCCCTCTCATTCTCTTTTCAATCAATTCTTTTTTAATTCTATTTCAAAAATATCTTAATAAATTCTTCAAATTATTTAAATCTTTATTAAATCTATGATCCTAAACCTATAAATCTAAATTTATAAATTTGAATCTATAAACCTAAGATCCCTATCTCTTTTATTATACCCCCACCTAACTTTTTAAAACAATTAGAAATATCTATCCAATCATTCAATAATAATATTATTATTATTAATTTTCATCTAATAAGTATAGATTTAAAACCTATATCCTATAATCTCCTAAAGAATATAAGAATATATCAAACTAAGGATTTTCAAAAATAAAATGATCAAATAATTACAAAAAGCATTTTTAGTTTATAACAAACTTTATAAAATTATTCAAATACAATCCTTCTATTTTATCTAAAATGAATATATATTATTCTAAAGTCATACTCGTTTCTATTTTAAAAAAAGGTAATAGTTGAAAACCTACTCTAATTATACAAAAAAACTAAAACAAAAAAATAACTATTCTGATTAAAAATATTATTTTAATATCGTGAATAAAATTGGTAATCAAATTTATAGCTATTTGATATATAAGAGTTTTTTTAAATTAAAAGTTAAAAATACTCTAATTAAGGATTATTTATTCTATTCTTTATATAGTAATAAATTCTAATTCTTTGGAAATATAAGAAATAAATATAATAAACCTTTAAGAATATATAAAGGATGTATATTTCTTATTTATTTTAAAAGAATATAATTATCTCTATTAGTTTTCAGACTTATAAAATAAAGTATTTATTGTAAAGATTATATATAATATATAAAACACGAAAAAAAACTAAGAAGAGTTTTTTCGAAATAACTCTCTAATTTATATTACATTCAAATCAGGAAATTATTTTATATTCTCTTTTACAATTACTAAATTAGTATTTATTCAGATTAAGTAATTATTATTATCGATAAAAAAAGGAAGTATATTATACTTATTTGAAATATTGAAAATAATCAATACTATTATTATATAGAATAATCATATTAAATGAATTAATAAAAAAGAAGATTTCTATAATAATTTAGATCTTTCAATACTCAACAACCTTATAAAAAGATCTTATGTACAAAGAAAAGGGTTTTAAATATAAAAATATAAAAAAGTAAAATCTCTTCAAAAAGCCCTATTTTATTCAAGAAATATTTTTAATAAAATTATTAATATATAGAAATCAAACCTTTTTATAATACCTATAATTATCCTATATATATAAAAATCTTTGAATCTTAATATAATATAATTTATATACATAAGAACAATCCTAAAGTATAATAGAAATTATAATATATTAGTATTGATTATACTTCTTTATAACATATAATATACTATTAATTATTTATAAAAAAGATTAATTCTTAATAATATAATATTATTATTATTATTATTATATTAAAAATCGATATTGTAATTCATTTTATACTTATTATATAATTTATTTTAGATTATAAATATATCAAATATAAATTAAAATCGATTATATAATTATTAACCTCTTTTACTATAAAATTATAAAACCTTTTTATTGAAAAAATAATATTAATAAAACAAAATAAAAACAAAGATAATAAATTTCAAATAAAATCTAATTGATTTAATTAACATTCATTAAAAACAATAAATTATTTTATATATATATACATAGAAAAAGTTTTATAAAATTCAAATTAAAGATTCAAAAACAAAAATTATATGAAAATTATTTAATTAATGAAAATAAGTATAATTTAATGTTATATCTCTATTAACTTTTATTTATCTACTATGATATTTTTAAATTCTGTTTAAAATCAAACAAAGTTTGATTTAAAATAAATCATTTTTGATTATTCTATAATTTTAAAAAATTATTCGAGATCGAAATTGAAAAGAGATGTAGATTTTTGAATTTTTATATTTAAAATTCCCTAGAATAAGCGAATTTACTCTTTTAAAAATAATAAATTTATTACTTTTTTCATTTTGAATATAAATAACTTTTTTTATTATGAATAAATTCTTATTTAACTATTAAACTAATTACATTGTTAAAGATTGAAAAGATATCAAAAAAAAGTACTTTTTAAGTCAATTTAATAATTTCAACTACTTTTATTTCAATGATTTCAATTTTAATTCTTTAAGAACTTTCATATAATATAATTATTATATTAATGAATTATATATATCAATTCTAGTTTATTTTATCGAAAGCTGTTGAAGTTATAATTGTTTTAAATTTATACTATGCGTCTTTAATTATTTCGCCGAATAAGTATAAAGACAACAGGTAGATCAAACCCAAACTCATCTCGCTGTCTTTGAATCATATACCTATCGATTATAGATTCAAAAGCTCAGGCGTACATAAATCGATCTCTTATCGATAAAGCCGATGAAAATGTGACGCGAAGCATGGACTCATGATACTAAGCGTTATAATCATCGGATCGTGAGTTCAAATGGCCAGAAGAAATAACTCAGCTGTGTTTGCCGACACATAGGATTAGTTTCAAATTCCTATACCCCAACAGATCTCTTCATCGTCCAACAATCAAGAATTGGTATATATCAATTTCATTCTTCGCCGATCAGTACACCACAAACCAAATCCGAGTAAAATCAATCGAGTCTAAACTCAACAACATTAGTTGATGGACTCCTCTCAAGCAATTCTGAATGTATTTCCATCGCTGGTGGGACATCTACAGTCGCACCTGCCCCTAAAAATACGCGAGAAGACGTTGAAAACCCAAAATACCTCAGGGCTCACATCAGCCATGAACTACAGCATTACCTTGGCAATTTTGAGATTCTATCCCATAGGAAAGCTTTTTGCAAACTCAACAATGATAAGAACAAATAAAAGCCCTACTTGCTTGCTGCTACATATCAATTGTTCTCATGGCCATGTCATAATTCCGGGACAACTGCTGACCAACCAGCCCATGTGCTTTTGCATCATCGATATTGTTCAGTTGACATCGCCCGACTATCATGAAAACAGAGCCTTGGCCGCAGCTGATTGTTATCATCAGCGAGAAAAAATAACTAGAGAATTGGAGTGTCTCAAAGTGTGAGTATGGATGGAAGGGGCATACGCCCGTTTTTGGTGTCACCTTTAGTAAAACTCCAATCAAGCATCACCTCTAATCTATACACTGATGATATACAGAGCAGCTCAAAGCTGGCGCCAAAATCACCAGATATATAGACTTTACCAAGATTTCTCCATACTAGGGCTTTGCCCGTGACTAACATACACGCAGGACTTGCTGGCTTAAGGAACCAACTGAATGAAGAGAGAAGAACGAGATTCTACGACTTGCATAAATGACATGATCTCCATTCTTGAAGAACTGTCTAAGTTACATTGAACAGATTAGAGATTAACCCAGGCATTAATACATGCAATATATAGATACTAGACCACTCAAAACGAATGAGATATTGGTCTTTCCCAATTTTCAAGAACTTCAGGATCTTCCCGAATTCTGTGTATAAGACATCCCTTTCATGTGTCGCCTAGATGCTTCTACTGAAAAGATGCATCACCCACTTTTGATGATCTTGCTGCACCATATGTACATCCAAATTCTCAAGAATGGTTTTTAGGTCAATCATATGATTTGTGTGTGGTCACACAGACGTACTTCTCAACACTGACTGTCATACATTTGACTTTCACGTTCCCATCGCTCTTCGTTTCCATCATATTACCAGAAAGATTTGAAGTGCAGATATTGGATTCCACTTTACACACCATCAACCATTGTCAAGGTAAGATTTGACTTCAATACTCTGATTATTATACCTTCACTCTTGGCCAGTGCTTGTTACTGTCTTAGCACTTGTGACTCTCGTCTGAACTTGGGAGTTCTAGAAATGGTTTCAAGTCCTCAAAGCGGCGATCCTCGTTGGGGAACTGGTCCCCCTAGTGATAACTTACGCTTGAGCCATGCAAAAAGTGAACGGCGGTACGACAATTCAAGTACTTATTATTCACCACCATCGCCCTCGTCTTCCACGGTCAATCCTTTGTATCCAACAATACAACAAAGTCACTTGCTCTCTTTAAATCCTCTTGCAACATCATTTAAAATTGCAGAAACTCCATCATTTTTTCACCCACCTCGTTCATTTCCATCTTGCTTACTTCTCCACCTGCCTTTGTTGATAAATCACCATTGATTTATCAACAACAGATCATAGATCGACAACAGGAAATCCTTGTTTCAATAAGCAAGTGGAACGCACCTTTCACTGAGACCATGGCATCCTTTAATTTGCCCACTGGTCAGCCAGCTCCAAATGCATTTCAATATAACAACAACCCACATGGCTTTCCACCATCTCTGGCAAACCTTCAAAACACAAGTCAGGATTCAGCAAATTCAAACGATTCCTTCCGAACACAGGTACCACTCCCATGGAACCTGCCATCCGATTATGAGGATAGTGGTGGAGTTGAGATGTGCGATCCAAGTCCTTTTGCTGAGCCTCCACCTTTTGTGGCACCTGAATTTAGCAATGGCCGCGCTCAGTTTCAACCATTTACCAATCAAAATTCCATGGTGAACGGTGCTTCTGCTGGAGCTTATAACCATGAGAATGAATACCAGATGCAACAACAGCAAACTTATCAACAAGAAAACTTTACTATGGGGTTGAATGGTATGAACGGCATGCATAGCATGAATTCATTCAGCGGTGCTAACAATGCATATCAATCACCACCTTACAATGGCCAAATCGGAGGTCTCCCAAACCCTCACATGAGCACCGGTCACACAGGAAATTTGCAGCATCAGCATCAAAATCAATTCGGTTTCAATGGGCATGGTGGTCCTCCAACTCAAAGCAACTTCCAACAGCAGAACATGGGTATGCGACCACAATTACCACAAATTGCTACTCAATTTCCTACACATCCTTACAGTCCTCAATACAATCAGACCTACTCTGCTCCACCGATTGGAATGAATCCAGCACAGTTTTACGACAATGTTGGCGGTGGCAATTATCATGGCCCAAATTCTACACCAAGTTCAGCCTCGCGTATGGTATCCGACTTGAAATTTAGTAACCTCAGCCTTGGCGGCATGAGTCCAAATGGTGTCGGCCCGAACGGCATTCAGAACAATGGTTACGGCCATGGCAGCGGCGTCGGTAATATCGGCAATACTGGTGGCATTGGCCACAATGGTTCAGAGCAGAATCGTTCCAATGGAAGTTTCTCGGCTGTAGCCAACAATAACAATATGGCTGCCAATGCTCGCAACGCACAGTATTCCTCGCTTGTATCTGTCGGTAACATTCATCACCCACTTCCTCCAAAGCCACCATTTCAAGCGCAAAACACCCATGTTTCCAAACCCAATTCTGGCAACCAGCCTTACACAGCAACTAGCAATAATCCTCGATCTGTTGTCCATACTCCTCAACAGCAAAAGCGAAGCCTTCAAAGTGAGAAAAGTGATCCAAGTCAAGAGAGCAGCAACGACATCCAATCACCTGTATCGTCCAACGGTCGCTCACTATCTGCTGCCATTCCTGCTTCCGAGCCGAGACCTAACTTCACACCCTTGCTTCGATCTAATCGCGGCACATCCATCACCGCATCTGTAGATCGTGCTCAGCACATTAGCGATTGGGTACAAAATACACCGACTCGTGGAAGTGTTTCGCGCCAAAACTCTGTCACAAGTGACAACTTTGCTGAAGTTGACAATACTCCTACGATGCCGAACTATGACGCTGGTAGAGATCATCGCCCAATCAATAGTTCCCACGACGCCATCCCAGGTGGTTTTACCCCACGCGCTCTTAGCGTTAATCCCTTCAATCCTGTCACCACACTTGCTCCTTTCAGCCCAAATTCTCGTTACGGAGATGCTGGTGGCATGAGCCCCTTGCTTCGTGAGTTGACCAGAAATGGTACTGTTACGCCAACTGCCGAAGAAGCTCTTGATATAAGTTTCATGCCTTTCGAGGAGTACTGCCGCCAAGCCAAGCCTGCACAATATGGGGTTATGCGAATTAAAAACGTAAGTCATGGTCGCCGATGTTTGATAACCATATATTAATTCATTCATAGATTCCATATGGCGTAACAAGACAAGAGATTCTTGCATTTCTAGGCCGTAACGCAAAGATCGCAGCCTCGAATGACCACGAGCCCATCCATATTATTATGGAGCGTGTCACCAGCAAGACACTTGACGCCTATGTTGAGTTTATCAGCTTTACTGAGGCTTCAAATGCAATCACACGTTTCGATATGAATCGCATGGGCGGCAGAGGTGGTCGTCTTGGACAGCGCCACGTCGAAGTGGAGTTGTCTTCCCAGGAAGAGTTGATGAAACAGCTTTTTCCAAAGGCCAAGAACGTTGAGTGGCACGGAAATAAGCCCACAATTATTGAACGCGACGAGAATGACAAGTATAACTCTGGTTTTCAGGGTTTCGTTAGCCGTGAAGAGTTGGTTATGCTGGTTAAGCATGTTGAGTCCCCACAACGTGTAAGTATTTATAAGTCTGCCTACGTCATTCGAAATTCTACTGACATCAAACAGTCCCCATTCTCTAAGGATTGTCCGCAACGACCATTCGAATGTCTTGTCAGTACCTTGATCAAGTTTCCTTGGGCAATGGTCAACCACATCACTTGCCAAGATCGTGAGTTATTGTACAAAGCCACGATGCAATTGCTTGGGTTGCTTGTTGAACGTGTCGAAAACAATGATGATCCAGTCAATCTTAATGCCCAATTGTTGAAGCGAGTTTGGCGTACTGCTCTCAAGTGCGAGGGTTTCAGTCCCTGTATGAAAGACAACATTGTTTTCAAGATGAAGATTGATCCTACAACCGCGTTTGAGTGTGGCGTTCCACCACAAGCTGATCTCTGGAGCAATATCTGGACCATTGGACCAAGAAAGGATGTTGCTTATGATCTCGTTCAGGTAAGTCTCCCGAGAAATATTGATCAAATTGAGATCACAGGCTGATCAACAATAGTACTATGTCAAGCTTATCCATGATGCAACTACTGAGAAGAAGCAACTCACCTTGGCCGAGAAGGCTGCAGCCAGAGCCGAAGAGGTTCCTCGCCTTCCAAGTCTCTTTGGGAATCTTGATACGCTTGTTGATTACACTAATTGCCTTGATTTGACTCTTGCTGAACTTGCTGTGAAGGAGTGGGCTGCATTCGAGACCGCAATTCGACGAGCACTTACTCCAGCTTTGGAGGCCGGTCCATCTAACTGATAGAACCATACCTACCAAGCAGTTGATGCGTCCTAGTCTCTAATGTCAGATACCATTTCGCATTTGTTTTCAATTCTCGGACATAATTTGTCGAACTTCTTAGGCATTTCTCTACATTCTCATTAGGCAAGCCTGATATCCGGATAATTTCGTTCTCCGAATCTTCCCGGAAATCACAAGAGCTGGACTTGAGTTTTCTTGAAATCCTCGATTGTCGTCGATTGTTCATATTTTCTACTTTCCTCATATTACATCTGTCTACCACCAACTTGATGAATCGTGAAGCCATCCTCGAAATCATCGAAACACCGTCATATCATTGAAGGAACAGCATTGTTGATATCCTTCTATTCGCATCATAAAGGGTCTTACTATCGAGAGAAGTCCGGCATGTTTGGTCTCACCTGGAACGTCAAATTTTGCATGACCTGTTCTTGCATACTTTTCTCATGACGATAGCTATCGATGCTTTGGTGATTTGCGTAAGTACTTGAAGGGATTTGAGTTTTTGATGTCATTTGATTGGGATGCTCGATTTGAGATTATGATGATTTGGGTCAAGTTTCTTCTTTGGTTGCTTCGATTCTTGAGGTCATTCTGATGACATCTTGGTATTTGCATCTCTGTAGTTGTCCATTCAGATAGTACAAATCCAATACCTTAAATTTTTTAATACTGTGCCATTGCCAACAATGAATGTCAGGTCTGTGTAGGAGTAAGCTGTAAATGAAGAGCTTATTTGATGAATATTAGGTTCAAGTAGGAAATGAACCCAGATATCTGATGGTTGGAAGACATTGGATGAGTATCATCATCCTCATGAGATGAGAGAGAAAGGGAAGGAAAATGAATGTGTGAAAGTTAGTTGAGATGTCTCGGAATATCTTCGGCCACTAATTATCCAAGTCCTTCGCTTCACCACCCAATGATTTCATGATCCATACATTCCCCCACCAATTCTTCACCCCTCCATCACATGAGAGACACAAGAGAGTTAAAATGTCTTTACCTCAATCTTTTATCAGCAAGAAGAAGCTAATATTAAGCAAGCTTGCTGTCCCTACAGATGAATACGATGACCTGTCTCCTAAAGGGTCCGTGGATGAAGGCATTCGAGAATTAATAGATGAAATAAATTCTCTTGAAGGTTGTGTCACGACTAGTAGTTGTGCTGGACGAGTGAGCGTATTTTTGGAAGGGAAGAAGAATTCTGATGATGGAGTCAAAAATCAAGTTCAAGACGAGACTGGTATGGATGGTATTCCGGATGTGAGAGCTGAGAAGACAGCCGGGTTTGGTGGAAAAGGAGGGGGTGGAAAATGGTTATATGTTTCTCACGACGCAATTGAAGACGAGGCACTGAGCAGGCAAGAAAATGAAGGAACTCTTTGTGAACTGCTGGGGATGCGGGCGAATGGTGGTGATTCTATGATCCCTCTCCCGAAGAGCAAAGAAAGAGATTTACGGCATATTCATTTTAAATTTGAGCCCATGGTATGTTACTTAGCCTACTCTGTTCTTGAGGTCTAAATGCTGACGTCTGAAGTAGATCCTGCATGTCCTTACCGCATCTTTGGAGCAAGCGCAAAAAGTGTTATCAGCTGCATTACAAGCGGGTTTCCGAGAAAGTGGTGCATTGAACCTAATATCTACAACATCCGAGCCAGCAACTCCAATGGTAGGAATAAGATGCATGGGTCTGACGCTTGAATCATTAGTTGGTGTATATCACGAGGCTTTTGACCGAGGAGTTTGCCTTGTCGATAACGGGCAATTAAGTACGTTGATGAGAATTTCTAATGAGAGATTCGAAGAGAACACGAAAAGGATTGAGAGATTTAGAGTATTATTGAATGAGGCAATGAATCCTGTGGAGAAGAAAAAGGTAGGAGAAAATGGGGAGGACTGGGAGGATCCTCAGGCTAGGAAGGAGCGGAAGCGTGCGGAAGGGTTGAGGAGAGCCCAGGAACTGAAGGAAGCAAAAGCGAGAAGTGGGAAATCTGAGAACCAGGACTCGGGAGAGCTTTCAGTAGGCCCAACACCTGTAGATTATAGTGAGACTAGAATCTGATGCATTAATACTTCACATCGTCTATGATAGTGTACCCAAACTTCCACGCCATGCATTATTTCTGTTACACATATTCTATACACGGTGGGCCCTTGAACACCTTCGTTGGTTTCTTTCCATCCTTTTGTCCTCCATTCGACATTTTTTATTCATCTTCCTTTCCTTCTCCCCTCATACAATCATACCTCCCTTATCGAACAATACCCTCAACCCATTTACCCTCCAACCTCCTAACCTCTTGTCTGAAAGCCTCAACCTCTTTGTAACAATCCAACGGCCTCCTGTCGTTATCCCTCAAACACTTTACCACTGCACTCTTTGCATTCTCAACCCCCTCATCTAATTCCAGTACCTTCTTCCTCTGTTCCAACTTCTTTCTCAAGCCCTCCACATCTTTCTGAACCGCATCTCTACCCAATTTTCTCAAGCTATCACCTGCCGATTTCTCCTCAGATGGGGGCGAAGATTCCTCGGTGGAGAGTTTGGCGGTTAATTCTTCGAAATCTTTGTTGGCGCGCTCTTGGAGTTTCTTGAGTTCGCTGGCGACACGGGCTTGAATGTGGAGTTCGAGAGTTTTGGCACGAGTAGAATCGGACTTTTGAAGTATGTTAGAAATTCTCAGATCTATAGGTCTGGGAGAGAGTCTTACCTCAGAACTCGATTGCAAAGAATCTATGAGTTGTTCCGAGAACCTTACAGGTGTTTCACTGCCGGATACCATTAGAGCTTGCTTGAAGGAAGATGTAGATACATTATTGGGAAGAAATACCTAGACCATACTTGGGCCTTGGGAGGTTCCTCCGGTTTCGAAGCTCCAGATCCCATATTAACTGGTGTAGGAAGGATCAATTGCTTGAAAGGTATAATTTACAATTGTGACCTCACGAGCTTGGGATTTCTTAAGGCTCGCTGAAAATCGGAATGTTTTGAGCCTTGTGGCCTCATATCGGAGCTGTGTTTATCCATGACCCGAGCCACATTTGAGGCGTCAGTGGCTCAGTGGCTCGGTGGCTGAAGTTCAGCAATATTTTGGATCTCAACTTAAAGAAATAAAAATGGACTTTGGATGTTCCCACGAGGATGACCAATTCCAATAAACTCAACGATCAACTCAATTAAGCTTCACTTGCATGTACATCATCGTTTCTTGATGAAAGGAACAGAAAAAGGCTAAAATTCAGGTCTATCTGTTAACATGATGATCTGATAGAGCATATTGTACTGATGTTCTACTAAAACCACGAGGTTTCAATCCTAGAGTTTCGTACCCAGGCCGCCTATTCATCTCTTCATTAAAGTAGTACCTAGATTTTGTAAGATTTCATGAGTTATCGATTCTTTTCTTTTCACTTTACTCCTTTGAGCGGTTTCGAAACTAAAAACTCTAGAGATATATTTTTATTTATTCGAGATATATATTTAACTATTTTCCTATTCTAAATAATTATAGATTCGAATTTTTAGTAAACAATGATATAATTTTATTAAAATCTAATAAACACATTTAGCTTAACATATTAAAAGATTTATTAAATAACAAACTTAATAACTTTAATAATGAATATAATAGAAATTAATATAATTAAAGATATTATTATATGAATATTAATTATTAGAATCTAATAAATAGCTTTAATTTATTAGCTATTAAATTACAATTGTAAGTAAATACGGAATATAATAGTCCTAAGTAAATATAGAAGAAACTAGCTCTTTTTATAGTGTTTATATAAGATCTATAACTGTTAGTTCGAGAAGAATATAGAAGATATAATACTTATAGTATTCGTAAATCCAAAATGTCTATATTATATTCTACCTTTAAAGCTAACTAAATATAAGAAGTTATAAGCCTTATATAAACATTATAAGAAAAGCTAATCTCTTTTATTTTTACTTAAGATTATTATATTCTACATTTATTAATAATTATAATATAATAACTAATAAATTAAAGCTACTTACTAAATCCTAATAATTAATGTTTATATACTAGAAACTCTCTTTTATAATTTCAATTCATAACTTTATTAAAATCTAATAAGATTACTTTCCTTATTATTCTATTCTTTTTCAACTTATTTTATTACTTTAATATTAAGCTTATTTATATTAATAAAATTAATAAATACTTAATATAGTTTTCCCTTTATTATTATATTAGTTGAATTAATTAGTTTATTGATTTATATAACTTTAATAATCTTTTTTCTTTTATAAGATTAATATAATATTATAATATCGATTATTAATCTTTTTTCATTAATTATATCTAACTTAATGAGTAAGTTATTGTCACGGCGCCAACTACATAATCTGTAGTTGCCTTCGTGCCTCAGGCATAGACCACTAGCGTGCCCTACTTCCTATAAGTAGGGCCTCACCCTTCCATGGCCCTTCTACTCTTATAATACAATCTAAGTCTTTACCTGTACCTTAACAGTTATATAATGATTTTAAATTAATATACAAAACCAATGAAATTTCTTTATCAAAACTAATATAAATTATAAAAGTAATTGTTATATTAATATTAAATCCTTGAATTCATTCATATAATTTTGAAATTAGAATACTATATCGAACACTTTTATATTTAATAAATAATTAATGAACAATATTAGTATAATTATATTTATTCATTATAATAATAATATAATCTATTTAGAATAAATAATTCTTGTTATTAATAAAAAAGGTATTAGTAAAGATAATAATTTTGAATAAGTTTAAATCAAATAATATATAATTAAGTTCTTTAATAGAATTATCTTTTTATTATTTAATATACTTATTCAATATTATAATGTTATTCTTATTAGATTATATTATTTATACTACTATTAATAAATCAAAAGATACTTCAGATTGATATATAATTATAATATATATATTGTAAATATCTATAAACTTCTTTAAAATAAGTTGT